TGGTACTCTGTAGCTTCCTTATTCCATTGCTCTATTGCTATTCCTTTGCTTTGGGGAAACAAAAATGTAATATTTAGGGAAGCTTATATATAAACAAACATACATAAACAAGTTGTTAACATGGGGAAATCTCCCTGGAGGATTTGTTATATTCTCCTAATTAGTCTCTGCTTATTCTGCTGAACATGAATATAATAATAATAATAATCCAATCCCCAGTTTTTCAAGCTAAAGATCTAGAGTATGTGTTTCTCATAAAGCAAGGTAAAATTTCCTTGCACATGCTTTTTAAAAAATGATTTAGGAAGAAAATAATTGAGCTGCTGGTTTAAACTTTATTTCCTAAGGTCATGAAATAAACTCAGTTGCCAGTTTATTAGGTATATACAAGTGTATTATTCTACCCACCCCCATTTATATGAACAAGGGTAAGCTACATAAAAGAAACACCATCATTCAGTTGAGTACAGAATCTACGCCTCACTAAAACAGTTTCAACATAACATTATCACGCCTTCATAAAGGAAGAATTAGTTGCAGGTCTGTTGTATTCCATTGTATTAGTTCTATCTGGGTGTTTCTAATAAACAGACAATTGAGTGTGGATACTTCTGTTTATGTTTTTGTCAATAGTCCGCACAACTAAACTCACCACTGACTCCTTTATTCTTGTTTTCTTCACCCTCGGGAGATTCCGCGCCTTCAGACAACTCTCCTGAAAAGGCAGAATGAGGATTTGTCATATTGACACAGGTACATTTTGTGTTCACAATCATGCACTCTATCCAAGCACAAATGGAAAATCTTGAAATCATCCTCTCGCTTTTTGGTCATTTACTGGGTAGGTCAATACAAACAGGAAGTGATTCCAAAGATGCCAAAGTTTCCAAGGGCAGCATATATATCAGGCTGGCCTTTCAGGAAAGGTGTTTAAAGCAGTGCACAAGTTGTCTAAACTATTACTATCTGATGCAAAGCTGAACTCCACAAATATTTCACTCAGTCATCCTTTCCTCTATGAAGAGATGGAACATGTTGAAACACATCTTGTATGACACAGAGGAAACAATGAAGATGATGTTTCCAACCTTGACGTTAGAGAAAAGGGAAAGGGAAAAATAGAGCATATTGAACAAAAGAGTGAGGAAGACAGACGGATAGATAGATAGATAAACAGACAGACAGATACTTTATTGATCCCAAGGATCAGGATCAGCAATAATTACAAAACTCACAGCGCCCAAAAACCTGCTCTTATTTCTGCATTAATTCAAAACCAATTCTACCTTTTATTCACAATGAATTAGAGCTGCAAAGACTGGTCAATAAATAAATATGTCAATACCCAAAAAATGAAACTTGAATTTTGATAATTAAATACCTTTTAGTGAACTTTAAAAGAATGCTGCTTGCAGCTTCACAAATGTGGGGGATTTTGAAGATGCACCACGGACTTTAAGAAGGTATAATAAAAGACAAATATTTAATGACTAATGGAGAAATTATTGTGGTTCTACAGATCTATCACACATACAGAGAAACAGCTTTTTGTCACATCTTTTAAAAACGGACCCTTCTATGGGATTGCATTTAGGGGAAGTACCATTCTGGAGTGCAGGATTCTTGGTTGTGGAGCTCCCAGACTGCGCTCCCTGCTCCACTTCCCCTCTGTTACCATCTGCTGGTCTGCTGACCTCTGCTGACTTGGGCGCCTCTACCTCCAGTTTGTCCTCCTCTGGTTCAGGCTGTTCTGATTGTGTGTGGGCCTCCTGGGGCGCCACAGCTGCTTCCTGCTGGGCTTGTTCCTCTGCCTCCTTTTTAGCTCTCTCCTCTGCCTCTGAGGGGTCACATGGAGCGTGAGAGCAGTTCAGCATGTGTAAATGTGTTCATGAGCATTAATTCATAACTACTTACTTCTAAGTGAGTAAATGCTGAGACAGCTCATTAGACTGTTTGTTCAGTTTCAGAGTTGGTCTATGGCAGATTTCTCAGATTTCTAAAGAGTGTTAACCTTGGCAACTTGAGGACAGCAGAAACAAGCTATAAACACAATACTGCCATATTATCATTTTTATCATTCTTTTGTAATCATGTTTTTGTCCACACAGTGGATATAAACTCAATGTGTACTCGCTTTCTAGTCCTGTTTTTGGTCTCCACTATTTCAGAGGGAAATATGTGGCTCTTTAGCTGCTAAATGCTCCATTCCATTCACCTACATCTGTCTGCTGTTTGGTGTAAATGTACAGTAAGCATTAGTGCTGATGAGACGACAATGAAGAGAGCAGTGACAGTGAACCAAAACAGTAAACTTGCAGATTGAAAAACCAAAATAATATGCTAATGCTCTGTAGAGCAGAGCGGAACTGTTAATTCTCAGTGGGTTCACATACATATATAACCATATTATACCACATTATAGAAATACTGGCAATAGCTGCAAAACATTAATTACATTGACTTTGTTCCAATTAAGCATTAGTTAAGGACTTTAAAAAAATGAATAAAGGCATAAGTTACAATTTACAGTATAAACATCTTTTAATGAGCTCCATATTAGAAAGTGGTGCCAACCAATGACACTAATCAACACACAGTTTCTCCGTGCATTACCCCACCCCCAAATCCCACACTAACACAGGTCAGTCAAAGTCCTACTCTACATCTAAGAACATCACAGATGTTAAGAGCACTACAGCTTTACAAGCCAATTCTCTCCATTCTGGTGGGTCTGATCTGTTCAGTTTAATAGGGCGTTGATGCTCCTTTGTGTCCCCACATCACAACCACTTTACATGTTGTACAGATGCACTGTACCTTTGTCAGCCTGTGCTTTCCACCTCTCTCTGTTCTGATACACCTCTTCATTCCACAATGCCTTGAAGTTCTTCATGTCCACAGACAGCAAGGAGTTTTGGACAGACGTGGCGCTGTCGGAGCACACGCTCTTCACATTGTGCCTTTTGCCCTCATCTGAGTTAATACTGTTCAGACTGGACAAAACAAAATGAGAGGGAAGAAGGGAGGTAAGAGGTAGCAAGACTGCAACAACACTAGCAGTGGAGCTTTGAGCCAAAAGATAACAATGACAAGGCTAACATGTTGATGTTTAGCAGGTAATGCTAAACAGTTGTCTAAACTGTGCCCAGTGAAAGACAACTCCTGCTCTGGATGGGGCTTTCCAAAGTTTGAAAAAAGTTCTCATCTCAGCTCAGACTGGATGCATAGTGCCAACTCAATGTGTGAGGGTTAAGAGACGTAGGCATTTAGGAGGCAGGGTGTGAGGGATTTAAGGAAAGATTCTATCAAGTTGTATTATGGGGAATGTGGGATCCAATTTCTTTTTTTTTAGCTTGACCCATACTAATGACTCAAGGTCAGAACATCTAGGCCTCTGCTGCTTCAATTTTGATCATTGTTCCTTTATTGTGTCAGTTAAATTGCAGGAGTATGTCTTTAAGGGATTGCCGACAATACTCCAAATGATATGGGGGATATGAATGTTTATATCAAGTTTCATGGCAATTCATCCAAAGGTTTTTGAGATATTTCAGTCTGGACCAAAGTGGCAGACAAACAAACAGATCAACATTGCCACACTTAGAGTCACACCACTAGCCTGGAATAAAAAGCATTTAGATTTAAAGGCACATTGAAAGAAAACAAAATGAGAGACAGCTGGATAAACAGGCAGACAGAGTGAGCAGACATAGTTACACATGGTTGAAAGCAGCTATAAATGTTGTGAAGAAACAGTCCAAAGGAACCCATAAACATCCGGGTGTGTATGAAGACAAAGGGACTGCACAAGCGGCAACACTATCTGAGGTTTCCACTTGGTTAGCGTCGACTAGAGGCCCACTGACTGATGGCTAATGACTGCTGTTGAGGAGAATGGGGAGGCTGTTATTGATGTGCAGGTGCAAGGTAGATGCAGCGCCAGACTCCCCAAGTAGTGCTTTATTTTATAATAAACTCACTTTACAAGATACAAAGTTTAAACAAGTGGACACAAAAGTTTTTAAGTGATCTTTCTCTGGGTAGTTTAAATCAGAATAACACAATTGCAAGAATAATTTACCTTCTTATTTGGGTGCTTTCAAAGCCTTGCACATAAATGATTTATCACATGGCTGGAGGAAAAGTATCGCAACATTTAATTAAACCGGTGGACAGAAAATCACTTCTTTTTGTGTCTTGAGAGACTATTGTGGTTCTCAGTCCAGTACTGAGGCCCAGTTCTGTTCAGGGACAGCAGGGCGAACTTGACTAACATCTCCAAAATGTCAATTTCAAGGTGTGTGGCTCCGCATGATGAAAGGTGGAGACATTTTCACACATAGAAATGGATTACTCATGGGAGACTCATCTGCTGTTCTCTTCCATTAAATATGCTTAGATATTGCAGAGGAGCTGTTGAGGTTTAAGAAAGGTATGAGAGGTGAAAACAATAAATATTCCATCCATAATTAACCAGACTGGTTCATTAAAATTTCCTTAGATTTCCAAACAGTCACCCACTTCCATCGGCTCAGTCCTGTTACTGAGCAGCACATAAGAAGCTGAGGTTTCCACTGTAAAGGCTCTATTCTATTATAAAGCCTCGTCCTGTTCTTTCAAACCAGGAACTCCGAGGGACGACTCAGACCACTTGAGTATATAAAAATATAACCGTGCTGGTTTATTCAAAGAGTCACAGGCAAGAATTAACATTACGAGTCCAGAGATCTTCCAACCCCCAGGCTGCCCAAGCAGCCCGGAAGCA